GTTGAACTTACCTTTATATCAGTTTATTTTTAAGCTAAAGTTTTAGATATTTGATGTTAAAAAACTGCAAAAGGGAGGTAAACTTACATCAAAATCAATCCATCTTTATATACGGCAAGGATTAAGATATTTGTCGATAAAAAAAAACAAAAGAAAGGTGAACTTACTTCAATGCTAGTCCATTTTTAAGCCAAAGTTTCAGATATTTCATGTTAATAAAACACAGGAGAGGTTAACTTACCTCATAATCAGCCCATCTTTAAGCCAAGGTTTCAGTAGAGTATATTCAGCGGATTTTTTAATGATTGATGGATTTCCTAGCACCGCCTGGAAAAATAAAATGTCCTTCTAAATATTGTCAAGTAGCAATTAAGGACAAAAATGTACGGTAAGAAATACGGTGACCGTATTAAAGAGTAGAGAACACATCATTATTAAATAGGTTGGAATCTTAAAACCAATTAGAAACATAACATCAAACTTCAAAATTTCTTACCAGACATTTTAGTAATCCATTGTTGTCATTATCAAGGTAGAAAGTTCAAACAGAAATTTGTGAACAAAAAGTTAACTTGGTGTTTGGCTTTCTGCTTTTACGAAGACGACATTGGGTTGACAAAGAATTTCAATGTTGATGTATTTCTATATCTAATTGAGTATTTGAAGAGATGAAATATCAATTGAATATTGAAGTAATTTCCATATATGATGATAACATGATATTCTCTGTTTACTATAGTAATATCATTTTATTTGCGATCGAACGTTGTGGCCCATTACATTCCTATTTGTATTCTGTTTAGTATATGAAATTTATATCAGTGGATATACGTTCTGACTTTTGAGGCCAAAAAATTCAATATGTACACTATGTGACAAAGAAATTACTGAAGAACTCCCCCATTACCTGCTTAATTGTACAGCCCTTGATGCAGAGAGGAAGGCCCTATATCAACAAATTAAATGTACCAATACTTCACCCTACGTATTGCTTTCAAAAATATCAGCAAACAAATCTAAGGCAATAGCTTACTATAAATTTTTTAGATCATCATTATGTAAGGACCAGTCAACAAGTGAATGACTTTGAGATGAAGAGTAAAGCCATTTCAATTTCTATGTAAATAACACAAGATGATTATTACCTTACCCAATTGGAAGAATCTGTATGGGGCAAGTCCCTAATAAAGGATTTTGTTTGTGTGTGATATCAGTGGCTATTCCAAAGTACTTTCTCTCCATGTGTTAAGAGATAGGTTTTATTGTATATGCCATTATTAATGACATTTTACAAATATATTGCCCTCATATTTATTTATAAAATAGAGATTCTCTTCGGTAAAAAAATCATTTATAAATAAGCGCCATTTAATGAGTGTCTCTGCAAACTATCAGACTGAAGTAGCCACAAACCAGTTTTGACAGATTGATAATTCTCACCTAAAGAAAATGATTTTAGGACCATGGCCCTCGTCAGTTTAGTAGATGGAGTATAGGTTTTGTGTCCAATTTGATACTTTAGACAACTTTATTATATCATAAAGATAGAGGCTGCCTGGCCGGTATTCATATTTCTTGAAAATAAAGATTCTTCGGCCAGTAAATCTTTTTATTACCTCGACGTTTCGACAAAAATCTTTTGTCCTCGTTAGGAGCAAACAAAAATTAAATATTTACCAAGGCGTTAAAAATCATTCTTTGAATCATATTATGAATGATTTTTAACGCTTTGCTAAATATTTTAATTTTTGTTTGCTCCTAACGAGGACAAAAGTTTTTTGTCGAAACGTCGAGGTAATAAAAAGATTTACTGGCCGAAGAATCTTTATTTTCAAGAAACTTTATTATATTTTATACAATTAATTTCTCTAAAAAAAAGATCCATCTACCATCTTATTTTAGATTGATTTCGTAATTTATTGGTTGTTACCGCACCTAAAAGTTATTAATGGTCTAATCTACTGTCGAAATAAATATCACCTACACGCTGATTTTTTAAAATTATTCCAGAATTAGCCAAATACCCTTTCTAGATTAATCAGAAGAAAAAAAGCTAACCACGTAGGTATTTCAGGTTTTTTTCGCTCATCAATGTGTTGCAAGCTTTACCTCAACGTTCAAAAAAGGCTGATATACGAGAGCTAATAATATAAAACACGTACGTGGTTAGATTTTCTTGATTAATCTAAGAATGGGTATTTGCCCAATTCTTTAAATATTAAAAATTAACGATTAGCTTGTATTTATTCCGAAAAATGGCGCAAGCCATCAGCAACTTTTAGTTGCAGAAAAAAGAAAAATCAGGGGACGCCTTTATCTTATAATATATATATGTTATAAAAACAAATAAGATTTGATTTTCTGCTTGAATTTAGATCATGTTGAGGATTATGGTAATGCAGTCGTGGTTAAAATCTTGAAAGAATAATGATAAGAATGGTTTTGATCAGAGGTTGCTTTAATTGAGTTAATGAATATATAAAATACATAATTTACTAAAAGTACTGCCTGGCTTAAGGCGTATGAATAAAAAAAAATGAAAAGCTAATTTACATAATGTACAAAAGTTTTGAGCCGGCCAACGGGATAGAACAACAACAATGAGTTTTTATAGGGGAAGCGTGACCTCTGGCGGTCGATTTAACAGAGTATTTGAATCGATGAAATTATAATTTAAAATAAATTAATACTTTAATATAACATAATTTTAAATAAAATATTTTAATATAACATATATATATACATATAACTTATATTTTTAATTGTTTTTCACATATATATATCTTTAATTAAAAAGGCATATATTGGATCAAAAATCATTTATTTTACCAAAATTTCAGTTGTCTGAACGCTAACCTCTATTAAGGTATTATAACATATTAATGTGTATCAACAACAACCATTGTTGACACACATTAATATGTTATAATATCTTGATAAAGGTTGGCGTTCAGCCAACTGAAATATTGGTAAAATAAATGATATTTTGATCCAAAATATGCCTTTTTAATTGAAGATTTATTTATAGATTGCTCTATTTTAAAAAAAACATATATAACTATAACATAAAATTCTCCATTGAGAGTGTGAGAATACCTTTCTTTTTTATTACGAGTTTTTGTTTCAAATAACGACTATAACATTTTTTATATGAAAAATAGATACTTCGGCCAGTTGGAGTTTTTTTATTTTCTTAACGTTTCGACAAAAATTTTAACGCCTTGCCAAATTCTTTATTTTTATTTACTTCTCCTGACGAAGACAAAATATTTTTGTCGAAACGTTGAGAAAAATAAAAAACTCCAACTGGCCAAAGTGTCTATTTTTCATATAAATATGAATGCCGGCCAGGCAGCCTCCATCTTTACGATGACTATTATAACAATAAATATTATTTTAAAAAATCATAGACTGATCTTTCTTATTTAAAAAAAGAAAGCTATGTGTTGTGTAATTGTAAGTGATGTTACCTCAGCGCCTTCAGGAGAATGGATAACGTAAATCTTCTTGGGTCCAACGTAGAGTTTCCAAAAAGGGAAGTCCTTGTAGAGGTATGACATACCACAGAGATGATTGAAAATTCCTGTGTACACACCTGTCATGTTTAGATACGTATAATATACTGTACATAACACTCAAGAGACAAAGGTCGCCTCTCCCGTCAAAATAGACGTCAAATCCTGACGCCAAAGCTAGTGTAGTGGCTCTGTCACCGACCCGAGGCCGCTAGTTTGCGGCGACGGTCATTAGATAGCGTCAGGTTTTGACGTCTATTTTGACGGGAGAGTCGACCTTTGTCTCTTTTGATCAATATCTTCCCGGCAAAATTTCCATCTATAAAACTCAAGTTTATTTAAGTGGTATATCACATGTTCTATAATCCGACCTTTTTATGGTTAGTGAACTACAACAACTGCAGAGAGAATTGAAAGAGAACTCTCATTCAATAACTTATATCATTGCAGTAAGGTCTGTAAAGATAATATTTGATGTAATTATTAAAAAGAAACACATTTTTAGTAAATATATTTGTTACACATTTTATTGATAGATGGAAATTAAATTTATAAATTTAGAGGGTCGGTTAAAGGATGGTCAAAACTGTTGATTTTCGACCGCTACGACCCGGGATCGAATCCGGAATTGGACATTTTTTTCTGCTTAAAAGAATGCTCCAATGGTCCCCAATTCTTGCAAGAGTCCAACCCCATCAGCGAGTGCAAGTAACCAAACAGAACTATGCCACATCTGTAAGTGCAAAGTCGAACTGCTTTTCACATGTGTAGACATGTGACGTACTTACTGTAAAAGCGGTCGTTAACTTCTAACCACCATGATTATCATGGTCTGTAACACGTGTACTAAGGATAATAATGATTCCCTAGCGCGCCATCTGTTATGAAAATTCGAAATTATTTTAGACGCGTAAGATTCTTTTTGAAATCAAACAATTTCTACTGCCCTTACTGCAATGGAAAAATTAATGGGAAGACCTGGCTCATCAGTAGTGAACCCTCCCAGCGGTTTCGCCAGTTTAATCTACCATACCGCTGTTATATTGCATTTTTGGAACTTCCTTTTATAGTGATACTGTTGCTAGACTATTTGAATGGGTATTTTAGATGAACTATGGACATAAGATTTGAGGACAGCAGAATTACATACAATTATAAATATATAATATGCTTCGAGCAATCGCTCTTCCGCAAATAACAAAAATCTTACGCGACTAAAATAGTTTCGAATTTTCATAGAGATAATAATAGAAATTTATAAATTAATCATATATTAAGAATAAAAATAGTGTTAAAAATATGTTTAGAATAATCAACAAATGTTAGTACTATGGTTAAGATACTCACCTTCAAGTGGATCCCCATCGTATTTGAAATAATAGAACCTGGACAAAGTTATCAATTGACAAAAGTACACGATAAACCTGTAAACTCGTCTAAAGAAGTGGACAACACGGTTGACGAGTGCAGACATCATAATGCTACTAAGTCCTTGTGATGGAACTGAAGTAGAAGATGCTGTGTGTTTTCCTCTATCTCAACACCTCATTAGGACTTCGTTAGTACGGATTCAATACCCTATAAACCAGCTAATCAGAGGCTGAATAAATCTTGCACCACATTTATCATGACAAGGCTTCTTCCTCACACTAACGAGGCTTAGAATTAGATTTTCCGAGTTTACTGAAATAGGTGTTGTAGAAACTATGTAGATATTAGTGGAATGGAAGATTGATATATACATTCATGGACAAACCTTAAGGAAGTGAAAATATTTGAAGGAGACAAGCACTTTTGATCACACTTAGTTATCTCGTGTGCCTTCAATAAAAATCACTGTGAATCAAATATAGATGTTATGGCATCTAGGTCGATATTGAGGGGTGGATGGAAGTTTTATATACATTCAGAGGCAATACTTAAGAGAGTAGTAGTATTTGAAGTAGACAGAGACAAAACTTAAGAGAGTAGTAGTATTTGAAGTAAACAGAGGCAAAACTTAAGAGAGTAGTAGTATTTGAAGTAGACAGAGGCAAAACTTAAGAGAGTAGTAGTATTTGAAGTAGACAGAGGCAAAACCTAAGAGAGTAGTAGTATTTGAAGTAGACAGAGGCAAACCTTAAGAGAGTAGTAGTATTTGAAGTAGACAGAGGCAAAACCTAAGAGAGTAGTAGAATTTGAAGTAGACAGAGGCAAAACTTAAGAGAGTAGTAGTATTTGAAGTAGACAGAGGCAAAACTTAAGAGAGTAGTAGTATTTGAAGTAGACAGAAGCAATACTTATGAGAGTAGTAGTATTTGAAGTAGACAGAGACAATTTTGTTCACAATTTGTTATCTCTTGTCTTCAATAAATATCACTGTAATATCTTTGAGTTACTGTCTGAATCCCGATATACATTATAAAGGTACAACTTCCTAAGTTTTGTCCATGAGTGTATACACACTTGGTTATCTCCTGTGTCTTCAATAAAAGTTACTGTGTATCAAATATCTTTCATAGTTATTGTCTGAATACCGATATACATGCTAAAAGGTACAACTATCTTAAGTTTTGTACATGAGTGTATACATAGTTAGTTATCTCGTGTGTCTTCAATAAAGGTCACTGTGTATCAACTACCTTTCAGAGTTATTGTCTGAATCCCGATATACATGCTAAAAGGTACAACTACTCAAGTTTTCATACATGAGTGTATTCACACTTGATTATCTCCTGTGTCTTCAATAAATGTTACTGTGTATCAAATATCTTTCAGAGTTATTGTCTGAATACCGATATACATGCTAAAAGGTACAACTTCCTTAAGTTTTGTCCATGAGTGTATACGCATTATGAGTTGGGGAGTTGAGTAAGAGTGCATTATTAGATCTCTCTGGGGTAATTGAAGCATTAAAAAAGTGTTCAAACCGGGATTTGATCTCAGGTCGAGGATATCGAAGCTTGACGGTCTGTTCCACATTTCTCTACCAACCTCTACTTCAATTCCATTAAATGAGATAGTCCTAAAAATCACAGTAAAAAGAGAAATTTCTAAAAATTTCTAAAAGAAACCGAATAATATATACAAACAGCAATTTCAATTACAAATATATATGAAGGAAAATTTTCCTTCCTCAATCATAATTTATTATAAAAATAATTTAACTCTTTGAATATATTTATTAGGAAATTTCAATGAATTGAATATTAAAATTTGACCATAGGTACGAGATTTATCTGTTTTGAAAAAAAAATAAAGAAGTGGCTTCTATGACGTTCATGGGATATATATCAATTTGACCAAAATGTTTCTTATACAACGGCAAGCCTTGGGAATAAAAATTGAGGAAATGGAGTCCTTGAATAATGCTATAATTCTTCCCATATGGAAATTGGGTAATTCTTAGAAACTTTATAGATGTGATTCAACTTGCGCTAGAGAAGATACATCGCCATGTACAGTATAAAACCTCAGAAAAAAATCTATACTTGTAAAAGAGTGCTAAAGAGAGGATAGGCGTTGAAGAGAGGGCTAATAAAATTATTTAGATGAACTATACTCCTGAAGACAAAACTTAAGGAAGTTGTACCTTTTATACGTAGCATTTTCCACAGAATTCAGACAATAATTCTGAAAGATATTACAGTGATCTTTATTGAAGACATACGAGATAACCAAGTGTGAACAATATATACAATCATGAACAAAACTTAAGGAAGTTGTACCTTTTATACGTAGCATTTTCCACAGAATTCAGACAATAATTCTGAAAGATATTACAGTGATCTTTATTGAAGACATACGAGATAACCAAGTGTGAACATTATATACAATCATGGACAAAACTTAAGGAAGTTGTACCTTTTATACGTAGCATTTTCCACAGAATTCAGACAATAACTCTGAAAGATATTACAGTGACCTTTATTGAAGACATACGAGATAACAAAGTGTGAACTACACTCATGGACAAAACTTAAGGAAGTTGTACCTTTTAGCATGTATATCGGGATTCAGACAATAACTCGGAAAAATATTACAGTTATCTTTATTGAAGACAGACGAGATAACAAAGTGTGAACTACCCTCATGGACAAAACTCAAGGAAGTTGTACCTTTTTAATTTCAATTATTCCAGAATTGGCCAAATACCCATTCTTGATTAAATCAAGAAATTCTAGCCACATAGGCTAACCTTATCCCAATACAATATCACATTTGTATTATTTTTTCATATTGTTTCGCGTTCTCACGTAATTCTGCCCTTAACTACCCGTTTTATGATTTTTCAGGATGCCTGAATGACAAGTTTTTTTGGTCGTTGAGGTACAGCTTGCACCACGCTGATGCGGGCCAACAGCCCGAAACGCGTACGTGGTTAGCTTTTCTTGATTAATCAAGAATGAGTATTTAGAAAATTCTGGAATAATTAAAAAAATCAACGATTAGTTGATATATATTATTATGATAAATGGCGCAAGCCATCAGCAATATTCGGTTGAACAATAAGGAGATGCCCTTTTTCTTTTTTTTTTTGTACTATTATTGTCGAACAAAAAGAAAAAGAACCAAAATAAGAAAACTACGTAATAAATTGAAGAATTCCAACGTCTGCTATAAAGAATGTTTTTTGATTCACAATATAATTACTTTTTCATTAGAATTATTTATTTCCAACTATTGGATGACTTGAAAATAAAGAAATAATTCAATCAAAATCCACCTTACGAAACAAATTTATTGAGATAGGATGTTGTGAATTTCATCAGGGTATCATTAAAAATTTTGTAATTTTGTCGTATATTTTCAGACGTTTTTTGATCAACAACTTTCTTTGTTTCTTGTTGTAGAAAATATTATACTTTCATTTTTAGAATTATTTTTTTTTAAATTGATATTGCAACTAATATTCTTCATAAATAATAAACAAAAAGCTTCCGAGGACGAGTTTTTTATTATTTTATCTTATAGTCATCTTAATATTTTGGGGTATCACAAGCCTTTCTATAGGAGTTTATGATGTTATATAGTATATAAGATATTGTTGTGTAACCACGGCGCGACCCTGAACGCCGGACACGGGGGCGCGACTAACACACGCCCGCTATCTTAACTAGGAAGGCTCACGATTTTGAATTTTTTTTTATTTTTTTTATTTAATAAATTTTAAAATATCAATTAATTTTAAACTCTCTCTGTGAGTCATCGAACAACAGAGTTCGGCGAGAAATTGCACTTTGACCACGGACCAACTTTCTTGCTTGCTCTCTTAATTTATTTTGTAGAGAATTTGAACTTCCATTTTTGGATCAACACAAAATGAAGACGGCCCGACCTGCACCGACCGACCCTACAGAGGACCGACCCGATTGCCAAGAAGCTACAGACAAGATGCATCCCCGGACCAGCCTCAATCCTGGCACCAATAAAAAGTTACATCCCTTAGTACGGCCCTGTGACTTCCAGGCTCCCACACAACACGTGGTGGAGATGAGCGGCGACCCAACCTCTCCGAGCGAAAATGTCTACAACCACATAATAGAGCTGCAGAAATTCAATCCCGAGGAGGGAGACCTGGAAGATTTCGTGAAAGACATAAAAAATATGGCTAAGGACATCGAACGTACCAAAAAAAAAAGAATGGTCGAAGACACTGATGAGATACCTACCACAACGAGCCAAGGAATTCATCAAGAGCCGCTTCGAACCTACTGAAGACTTGGAAGTGATAACGGAAGCTCTGGAGACCCTCTACCCAAAAAAACGACAGCCAGGCGAGAAAAAGAGGACAAGAACTAAGAAGAAAAAGAAGGCCTCTACTCACGAGAGGAATCTGGAGATACTTGACGGACTTGGTTACAGCCCACGCAACAGCGGGTAGATTCTCCCCGTTCGCCTCCAAGACCGACCTCCTAATGGCACTAGCCCCACGAGTCTGCCTTATACTAGCGGCGTCATTAGGCAAGAAAGACGCGGAGGCGATGGACCCGTCGGTGGACGACTACTTCAAGGCAGCAAGCTTCCTCGACGCAGCTGCAGAGAAGGAACTAAACGACGTTGAAGACAAGTGGGAAACCGTGGCGACACCGAGGCAGGACCGGAGGGAATACAGACCACGAGAGCAAGGATACGACCCAAGACCTCAACCACGGACGGAGACCCCAGCAGAGAAGGCACGCCGGTACACGACGCTCGACGGGACTTCAACATGTTTCACGTGCAACCAGCCGGGGCACATACACAACAACTGCCCCAGGACAAAATACGGTAAGAACAATTTTCGTATTGGCTCTGGGTATGATGACAACGCCTTCTACAACAACAAAAGTAGTGCACGTACGGTTGAGGGGGTCGCGGACAGCGGAGACACTAACGAGTAACGAGTAAGAGGGAAATCGCAAGGCAAACAAAAGACAACACACAAAATCCCACACGATAAAACCGTCAACAGAGAAAACGGCAGCGTCACAGAAAGAATTCGTTGGGCAAAAATGAAAAACTTTACCATGACGACACGGTTCAACGAACTAGATAAGGCGAGAATAATATTCGATTCCGGAGCGAGCTCGTGTTG